GATATAAGATTCATTTTATTTTTTCCACTATGTGATTGTAGTAATGGTGCGCCGATGCCAAAATTTTAAGCATCGCACATTGCGTAAAATGGTTGATTTGGATATGGGATTAAACTTAATATTTGTTCTGTTAAAAATTTTTTACTTTCTTCAAATCGTGTTTGATGTTCGGTAGTCCATTCAAAGTTATTTTGCTGTCTAAGGATGTTATAGAAAGGTCTTAAGTATAATTGCATTTTGTGTACATATTTATTTAAGAAATTTAACATTCCAAGGAATTCCTGGATTTTCTTTTTATTCGTGGGTGGCTGGAGTTTTTGATTTGCGTCTATGCGTGATTTCAAAGGGGTTATAGTGTTTTTCTCAATAATGTGACTCAGAAGTTTTACGCCCGTTAAGAAAAAATGTGATTTGTCCGGGGCTGCTTTGATGTTTTCGTTTTTTAGTATTTGGTGATACTGTTTTAAAACTATAAACATCTCTTCTTTGGTTTGTGGTTGCATGAAAACATCGTTTAAGTATGTGACTGAATTTTTCTGGAGTATAAGTGGTCAAAAAATTTTACTCAGAAAAGCTGAAAAAGCTGCTGGTCCTATATATATTCCATAGAATAATCTATTGAATTCGTTTTGCTGATTTCCAATAACGAATTGTGTTAATCGTCGTGATTGTTCTTCTAGTGGCATTTAATTGTATGCTCTATTCATATCTGTAGTTGTGAAATATTTACCATTTAATTTTGTTCGAATTACTTGAATGGGTTCAATAGGCCAATTGCATTTCAATTCATCAATTAATGAATTGAGATATCTAGCGTCTAAAACTGTTTTTAGTGATTCTCATTTAGCTAGGTTGAAAACTGGATTGATAAAGGTGTTACCTTTTGGTTGTTTGTCTTTTTGTAATGGGGATATAATTTCATATTGTTCTAAAATGTCAAGTAGTTTGTTTACTTTATCATGTAAGTGTATTGGTACTTTATTTGCACTTTGGTTTTTAAAAATTGCGTCAGGTTTTAAAGGTAAATGTAGTGGTGAACTAATTTTTCCAACATCAATTTTTGATGTTGCGTTAACTGTTGGATATTTTAGTAGTAGTGTGGCTAATTTGTCGAATTCGTTTTGTGTTATTTGAGAGTGCTGAAAATTAAACCTTGTCAAAAATTTTCGTTGTTCTTCTGTATAATCTGATTTTTTGAACGTTGGTTTAAAATATGGTGTTTTTGTGAAATACTCTGTATTTTTTTTTCGTTGCTTATTATATTGTTTATTGATAATTTTTCATCAAGAATTGTTGATTGACATATGTCTAGTAGTTGTAAAATATTTTTGACTCGATATGCTACTTTGTTTGTGGGTGAAGTTGTGGCATTTGTTTCACAATACCCTAAAAGTCCTAGGGGTAATGTTATTTGGTATGGTGAATTATTATATAATGTAACAAAATATTACCGGAGTTTGAATGTTTCATGTATTTTATGGATGAAATTGTTATTCAAAAAAATTTATGATTGGGTTTAAATTCAAGGTCTAACATAAATAGATGTTGTTTTTTTGGTTTTTATCATACTGGTGAACTTGTTTGATTGAAAAGTTATATACATTTCTTGAAAGTGGTTTCAGGTATTTGCGTTCCTGATTGTATACAGGGTAAAATTTGGAGAAAAATTGTGGTTTAAAATTTGAAAGAATGTTAAGGCTGGGTTCTTCATTCTTGTGTACATGTCTTTTATATGGAGTTTACTATTAAAAATGTTTATTGTGGGATTATATTTAGTTAAAAACGGTATGCCAATGATATTATGTTTTATATCTGTTATGTGGAATGTTTGTTTACATGCTTTGCTTAAGATTTTATTTTGTTCCATTGTTCTAGTGGGGACAAGGAAAACTTGGATTTTTCCATAATTAATTATGCTTGAGCCTTGTGCTGTTGCTAATTTATTGGCTATTTTCATAGGTATTAAGTTCGGGTGTAATATTTTGATTTCATTCCAAGTGGAGATATTGATGATATTTGATTCTGCTCCTGAGTCGATTAAAACATCTATTTCAAGGTCTGGTGGTTAAATTTCTTTACATTTTTGGACTTTCTAAGAGTAAAGGGATTGTCCAAACTTTTTCTTTTGGTAGTTCTTTTTGTAAATTTTGATAAATGTGGTTTGTACTTGAACATTGTACTTCGTCTCTTTCGGGTTTAATTATAGTGTTAATTTCATTTACTTCTTGTGTAACTGGTTTATTATTACTACTAGGTCTAGTGTAATAATCTTGAAGAAGTTCCAATTGATTTTCATAAAGGTTTGATTTGAAGGGTTGTTCATATATGATAGGTTCGTAGTAATTTTCAACTGTTATTATAATTAACTGAGGTGGTATTATCTGTATCACTTTCACTGTCTGTTGATTCACAATTAATGTGATATAATTGTAATTCAGTACTTTCTGTATCATCGATACCAGGGGATCTGAAGTTGTTTCTTCAGTTGTGTGTACCTGATTAATTGGTCTTTGATGTTTCGGTGTGTTGCTTCTATACTTGTGTTGGGAATCGGAATAACGATTATTAATTCCTATGAGGAGATTGGGAATAATTTCTTTGTTGATTGTTATAATTTGGATCCCTATTTTGTGAATTATTTCGTGATCTATTATGATAGTGGTTGTTATTAGTTCGTTGATAATTAGATTTGTTGTATGAATTGTTTCTTGATCTATTGTTTTGGTAACGTTGATTTCGATTATTTGAATATCTTCTATTCCTACTGTTGGAATAGTCTCTGTTTCTATTGTATGATGAATTTCGTGATCTATCGTTTGAATAGTGTCTATTCTTAGAACTTGAATAGGAACTGGTATCAAACGAATATTCTCTTCAGTTTGAATTTGATCCTGAATAGTTGTTTCTATACTGATTATTTTGACTTTTTGATCGACTATATCTATTTCGTAAATTTATTTGTTCTGGTGATCTACCTCTATAACTAGAGTTATAAAGTGATTGTATTCTTGAATAATTTGAATTATTTGGAAGCGGTTTTTCAGAGCTGTTATTACTATGTATATTTTTGTTTGGTAATTTTTGGTCTCTTTTCATGTATTGGAAGAATGATTCATTTGGTTCTTTGTAATTTTATGGTTTGTTCTGGTTATCTTGTTCTTTTTGTCTACATTCGACAATGCTGTGTCCGTATCTTTGGCAATAATCACACCATTTTTTGAAAGACGATTTACCTTTGAAATATGAAGTTTTCTCATATATGTTTAAAACTTCAGTAATTTTTCAGATAGATCTACATCTGAATCTTGTATGTTGTTTATATGTATAGTAAAAGTTTCGATACTATTAACATATTGTAGTTTGAGATTTTCTGTTTCTTCGAGTGTCATTGTAATTTCTGCTTGTTCTAGTTTATCAACTAGTTTTCTAAAGTCTTGACAAAATTTTTACCATCTGAGAAATATTATTCTGTCCGAGCTTAAATTTATAAAAAAAAATTTACCTGTGACCTTTTTTTCAAGTTACGGGCGTTTGAAAATTGCTAGTTTGACCAATTTGTGATAATTAAAGTGCGATATATTGTGTGCTTATAACACGCGTAAGAAGAAATATAAATTCGTTATAGCAAATTAATGCCAGCAATTTAGTATTTTACATAGCGTGAAGGGAGATAAACTGAAAAAAAAAGAAAAAAGTACTTTTTTTCTCAAATACTTTGTCAATTATCAACCAAAAAAAATCAATGACCTTAAGTGCAGTCGGAACATTAAGGGATTTGCCCTGATGTACAAGCAATCTTGTTGGGTATTAAAAATTGTTTATTTGTCCAGTTCTTGATAATTAACATGCAATTAATTACATTTTTATAACTCATAAGCAGCGATGCAGACTCAAAAATTAATTCCAATGGAGTTGAAGCATGCTTTTTGGTCTAAATAAATCATTATTCTGCGCAAATTATATGACTTTGTACAATGCATAGCGGTTAGGTCATGTCATGTTTTTGAGCATTTTTTTTCAAATCGATAGCTACATAGATTTTTAAAGGCAGTAGCAAAAAGTCAGAGTTTTACTCTAATTCCATCAGTCTGGTTATTTTCTGATGTTTTATTCCGATGGATCCTTTTTGGCGTGTTTGCAAAGTGCAGTAGTAAATGTATGTAGTAAATGTATGTAGTAAATGTATGTAGTAAATGTTTTAGTAGGGCGCTTGCTTAGATTACTAGAGTGTGAAAATGTAGGTGAGCGTATAACGAAAGACTAATACTTGAAAGCAGGGGCGGATCTAGGATTTTTTCGAAGGGGGGTGTGGTTTTTCAAAATTAGTTTGAGCGAATTTTCTGCGCCGCAACTTTCAGAGAAAACAGGTCTTCAAAGGTTCAAAGGTGTGTTAGGCACTTTTTGGAAAAATGTTGACCAAAAAATTGCGTTTAATCAGCGCGCGAATCCCCTTTTAGAAAATTTTAGAAAAAGACGCTTTTAGAAAAATTTTAGGGTCCCTCGCCAAAAATGAATATCTCAAAATAGTACAAAGATCAAATTCCTGGGTCGGTAGAGGGTCGAATCCCTGAGGAGACGGAACATCCGCCCCCCAAATCCGCTGGTGCATGGAGGGAAAAAGTAAATGATAAGTAGCTCAAAGCGGTCCAATCTTTGTCATTTGTCCGATTTTCAGATTCCTCTTTCATTTCAATTCTTCTGTCATTTGTTCAGCCAAATTTTAGATTTTGGGTTCAAGGAAACACTTAATGCGGTTGTAATGCGGGCCTAAGTCATTCGAAATGGTTTTTTTATGACATCATGATGACTTTTTGGAAGAGAACTGTAACTAGTTATTTGTTTTTTTTTGGCAAAACTCTTTGCACTAATCTTTTTACCATGAATTGAAATAGTTCTCTCATGATTGGTTACTTAATATCTATTACAAAATCGAAAACTCAAGTCATGCATCATAATGATACAGGAATGTGTTAGTCTGTTTTTGTCTGGTTCCATCCTTTTCAGCATTTTTTCTTGATCATTCCGCACATGAGGACCATGTTGGCACCTATGAAGAGGACATGGGCAGTGACTGTCATGTATCTGCACACCTTGCCACAGTCTGGGTCTTGTCCACACGCACTCAGTGCCTTCTCACCAGCCTTGGTAGTCTTTTCCACAATCTAAACAACTCATTCTGACATTTTTATCCTTCAATGTTTTAACAATAGGTTGTTGAACCCAATACGTTCCATAGCTTAATTCGACAGCATGCTAATTTTCACAGGACTAGAAGTATTACAAGTAAAGGAATAGATTTTGCTGTGTTAGGAGTTACCAGATTAGGACATCGGTTAACAAATGTAAACGCTTTAAAACAGCTGTAAAAACATCAGTCCTCTTGATGGTATCTACTAAAGAATCTCCTCATCTGAATAATTACAGTAAATAAGCAAAATCTAATTTTGCAGCATTCTGACTACGTTTTTGGTTTTGTAATCTGCTTGAAATTTAGCACCAACTTGAAAGCTTCTTTTGAGAACTTTTGGTGTTAGTCCTTTTTTTCTCTAAGAAGAAATTCATGGGTGTTTTAATCAGTTCCGCTCTCATTCAAGAATATATTGAACTATCCAGTTTCAGATGCTCGTTGTAAGCAAAATGAATTTGGTGCCGAAAGGCAAACTACTGTAGTCGAAGATATTTGAAAGATATGTTAAAGATTCTTGATTATTATAACAAAATTTGAACTTAGAAATTTGCTAATATAGGTTTCGTTTTGGGCCAACTAGCTCAGATAGAAAAAATTGATGAATCTCTTTATTTTTGTATAATATTGCATAATCCAAAGTTGCTGAAACGTCGTAAAAAACATGTTGAAACTTTATGTAACCCAATGTTCAATTTTTGCAGCTAGAACGGCTTGGAATAATGCCACCATTCTATGAATCCATATTTGATGTAATGGCGAGCTTGTAGGCTTTGGTCCTTTATTCAAGATTAAATTGACTGTATCTGCTTTTAAGTAACCTTCTACTGAGTACTCTGGGCCTGTTGCTGCGAATACTATCAACAATTTTTTATCTAATCATTGTTTATCTCATAAAGTATGGACTCATTGTAATTTGAAGAGGATTTTATGGAGCATGGTGATGGTTAGTCCTCGTTTTTTATTGTCTTTTAATTTTGTTTCGTTGTAAGCAAATGGAAGGGTGATTTCATTTCTCGTTACTTCTTGTTGGTATATTGGTTTTGTTGACTAATTGTTGACAACGATCAGAAAATTGTTGGTTAAGCATGTAATTCTCTTTCGTTGTTTTCTTTTTTTTTTCTCCTGTTTTTGTTGTTGAAAATGAAGGGATATTTCGACATCTTCTCAGACATTTTAATTTTGCTGATTAATTTTTATGTATTTTTTCTTTCGTTTTTGATTTTTTCTCGTGTTTTGAGACTTTTCTGTATTTTTGTCCATATTCCAATTCCTTCATTATTTTCTTTCTTTTTTCAAAATTTAATTTTGTTTGAATTGATATTTTGATTCGTTTTGCTCATGGTAATTTTATTCTGATTTTGGTGGTAGTAAGATTCAAAGTCGTTGTTTTGAAAATCTGGAGTTGTTAAAACTTTTTTATCCTTTGAATTCGTTGTATTTGAATTTCAATTTTACAGCAAAAGTTTCAGTTTTGTGCGATCTTATGGATAACCCATCAAAAAAAGTTGTTTTTCACAATTTTTTTTAAAACTATTCAAGTTTTGGGCATAACAAAGTTCAAGTCGATCTGTGAAAAGATGTATCAGCGCAAGATGAACCAAACATGAGACAAATTTTCAGGGAAAGGTCGACTTCTAGCAAAAATTTTAGTCACTTTATTAGCGGGAAACTGAATTTCTAGCAAATTAGCAAAAAAAAAACGATTTTTGGCTGGATGGAAAATGTTTTTAAAAATTGAAAACTAAACTTCATCCGAAAAACTGTCGTCTAATTTTATACGGCAACAACAGTTAATGTGAGCTCTTTAAACTTAAAATCTATAGCGGCTTAGATCTTTGTATGGCTAAGAAAATGTCAATTAACGAGTATAGACAAATTTAAAAAAATTCAAACTTAAGAAATCCAATCAAATCACGCCCTTAGACTCCTTTTTATGTGCTCTGAACCGTCTTTTAAGTACGCGAGGTGTAAGCTTTTGTTCGAAGCCATGCTTTTTGTTTTGATCTCCAACTGTTATGTTATTCTACCAAACCTTTATAAGCCAATGTGTAATACTGCTCGTGGAAAACGCATGAAACACTTAGTTTTACAATTGCCCTAGTCGTACACTTAGAATTTACTATTTTCTGCAGCAAAAACCCTCAGATTTTGAAAATTTAGAAGATTCCCTCTAAAATTTTTAATTTTGTGGCAGGAAATTCTCCTCAAAAGATTTTTGCTGATTGCGATTTCTGACTTAGGTCTTTTCTGTGCAGATTTTTTGCTCAATTTCCAATTTAAATATGAAATATTCAAAAAAAAATTCAAAAATTTAGCTTGTGCTCGACTTTTTTTGCGAATGTGGTTGACTGGGTATGTTTTAATAGTTTTTGACATATGTTTTTACTCTCTCGATCAAAGTTGAGTATGTTTCGACTGTTTTTGACCTAAGTTTTGACTTTCTCGACCAAAGACGGATATGTTTTGACGTTTTGCTTGACTTAATTTTCCTCTCGACCGCGGAGTTTCAATCGAAAAATTGCACATTCTGAACTTTCAACATTGAAGCATTCGAGCACCTCAACCCGTGGTAGCTCATTTTGAGTCTGTTGCCATCATAAAAACTACAAGGTCAATTTGAGGGCTTCAATTAACCCACTACATTTCGGGCGTCGGAGTCTAGGGTATTCTCAGACAAAGTGAGTAAATAACGCCGAAATAGCTAACCTCAGGCGGTACTTTGACAGGGGGTTTCGAGTCATCTTGACAAACTCCCATGCTCTGTTTCATTGCTGGAAGGACAAGCAGGTTCATTCCGCCCATTGCCAAGGCCACCCAAGGAGCAGCGCACCTATAAAGGCATGAAAAATATTTCGATATGGGCGGCGGAGGAAAAGTGGCTGTAACGTTCAATTGACTGAATCCAGATATGTTCCCTGTTAGTTCGAGTCACACAGCTTCGTGATCACTGTTTGATGGTGAGGCAACAATTCCCAGGCCAGGGGCTGATCTACAATTTTCTCGAGGGGGTGGCCGATTTTCAAAAAAATTTCTGTCGATGCTTTTTAAGACTGACAAAATTGATTTTCCGAGCTCTCATAAAAAATTAACAAGCGTGAAAACATTTTGAAAACAAAACATGTCAAAAAAGGCGTTTTAAGCCTCGACTGACCCAAGCCCGAAAAAAAATAACCAAAAGATTATAAAGTTGGGTTTGGTTAAGGGCGTAAAAATTATTACTACGACAAGCTAGGAAATTTTGGCTGCATTTGGTAACAGTGTTCATAAAATATGCTACAAATTTTTACATACAAGGAAGGGCGGATCTAGGTTTTTCTCGGGGGGGCGGATTTTCAAAAAATTTTCGAACATTTTGTCGACTTTTTTTAGGTCGACCAAATTGATTTTGTGAGCTCTTCCAAAGCAGTACAAAGACCCTGTTTTGGCCAAAATTTCTGCGCCGCAGGCAAAATTTTGAAAAAGCAGGCCAAAAAGGCGTTCGGCGCCAATGTATACTAACTTCGAGGGGGAGCGCGCGCCAAAAAAAAACGCGTTTTTTTGTCAAAATTTTCCAAAAAGTGCCCAAAAACGGCTTTTTTACCTGTTTTTTCAAAATTTTCTCTGCGGCGCAGAAAGTTTGGCCAAAACAGCGTCTTTTCAGTACTTTAGGAGAGGTCGGAAAATCAATTTGGTCGAAATTTGGTTTTGAATTTTTTTTTGAAAATCCGCCCAAACCCCCCCCCCCCCCCCTCGAGAAAATCCTAGATCCTTCCCTGGTGACGGCGAAGATTTTTTTCACGCTTAAATTGATCTGAAGTTGTTATGAAAAGCTCTAGTGCACAATTATGACAGCTGTTTTTTCTCACTCTTTTCAATCATAATTAAATAAAATATTTAGTTTTCGACAAATAATCAGTTTCATCATAAAATGTACATACAATCCGTGCGTTTTCGGGAGAACATCAGGCAACTACTTCTCCGTTTTAAATGTCTTCGTGAGAAAGTTTTTTTAAACAAACTTGTAAAATTGAAAAAAACATAAGAAACTTTTTGGCAATTTTGATCAAAAAGCAAACTTTTTTATACGGAGAAAACAGAAACGATGTAATCATTTTCTTGTTTGTAAAGGCCTTTTATTAAACTTAGTTTAATAGCAAATTTGTGGTTTTTGTCTCTTCCGGTAAAACTTGAAGTTTATCTCAGGGACGGGATGTTGCAGAAGAGCTAAATGACCTAACCTCATGATGAGACAACAGCTGCTGCCGGTGTCGATGAGTGGCTTGCTGAGATTCATCTTGAGCATACACTGGAGGGCGATGTAGGTGCCACTGCCCACCACTTGGGTGAAACCCAGCATACGCTGGCACATCAGCTCATTCTTGCAGCAGAAGCTCTGAAAGCAATCTTTGGAACCGATTAGGAATTTTCGGCTACTTTTGGCTGTTTTTTGGTTTTTCAGCCCCTTGTTAAATCACAAAAAAAGTTGTCTAAAATTGTTCAAATGGTAATTCACATTGTAAAAAACTGTTGGTTTTTTTCCAAAGACCCCCCCGCCCCCCGTATTTCAAATTTTTCAGTTTTTCAATTGTCTTAAGAGTTACTATGGCTGAACGCTGAACTTACGAACATGTTCAACCTGCAAAATTTCACTACATAATGACAACGTAACATTACGTTTTCAAAACTGAAAATCAAATATGGCAGAGGGAAGTGGAAAAGAGCCAAAATGTTTTACGTTGTTCACTCGTTGTTCACGCCACCATCACGCTTTTGTTACATTATCACGCTTTATTTTCAAATGAGTTATGTAAATCGAACTTCAAAAAATCAATAGTATCTTGAAAAGAGCCTTTTTTTCAACTTCCCTTTTTTGATGAACCATAAATCAAGACTGCTCGTATGTTTTTATGGCAAAGCCCTCAAAGTTCGGACTGCCATTGATTGGCCTCGAATCAATTTTGGTATATGAAGTATTGACAAACTACAAATTTTAGGCTGATAAAACCAAAGCGTTAAAATTTGAGTGATTCATGGAATTAATAAGATCTATTACCTTGCCTAAACTCAATTTGGAACGATTATGAGTGCGGATAAGTTGCCACGCATATATAAGTCGCTTATTGAAAGAAACTATCAAAGTGGTATTCCAGCAGCAAAGCCGCACTTTAGGCAAGTGCAAGCATACACGCTTGCTAATTACAAAGTTTCGGATCAAGGCCCATATGCAATCAACTTTTCTTAAATTGGTCTGAAAAAAAACCGGCCCGGCAATGGCATATTACCCGCAATCCGCGAAAGTGTGAACAATAAATTAACGAATTATCCTCTCGTGTCTTTGTAGTATTTAGAACATAGTTGAAAGATGCCCGAGGCAAAAAGAGCCCGGCCCTGAGGGCACGAAGTGCCCGATGGCGGCTCTTTTGCCCGAGGCCATCTTCTACTATGTTCCAACTGTTGAAGAGTATATTTTTGCTTTTTCTATTTGTTTATGTGGCTCTTTTTCCTTCCCCCCCCCCCTACCTTGTATGAGCTTCAACTTTACGAATTAATGAGTGGTTTTTACAAGGTTAAAATGAAGACCAAATATGTTTGTCATGGCCCAATTAGTCCGCATGCCAATTTTGTTAATCGATTCGTGGGAACAGTAATATTACGCGTAAAAAATTGCAGATAGGGGGGGAAGGAAAAAGAGCAGTTTTTGCCCTTTCAATTGTTACAATCGGGCTTGTTTTGAAAAGAGCCCGGAAAAATTGTGAAAAGTGCGCGAAACTATGTAAATGATTTCTTTTTTCATTCATGCGTTCTAATAATTCATTTTTCATTCATGCCTTGTCGTTAAAGAAAATGTGTGAAAGAGCAAAAACATACTCTTCATAACAATTGAGCCGAGAAAAGTTTTGGCTGTTTTCCACTTTCCTCCATATTTAACTTTGTTCCCCATTTTTAAGCCATGTTGATCTTTAAGGGCTTTTTTCCAGTTTCCTCCTTTCATTTTCAATACTGAAAACTCTATTTAACATTGTCATAATGCAATGAAATTCGGCGTGGTGAACAAATCGTGGTGAACAGATTTGTTCTTCATACTTTACAGCGTAACATCACGCATTTAGCCGTAATAACACGTAAAACAAACATAAAACTCGGTATTTTGAAAGGGGGAACTGGAAAAGAGCCTCTTTAATGTATAAAGAACTCTCATTATCACAAAACTAATTTGCTCACCATGCAAAATGTTTCTACGTTATGACATAGCAAAAATTTTGTAACAATGTTGCACCAAAAAAATAGTGTTTTTTTTTTCAATCGCAAAACGAAGTTTATACTCGAACTAACATTCTGTACAAAAAAAATTTTTTCCATGCAAAAATTACTTTTTTGTGCGCAGAATGTATTGCTGAATAAAAAATTGATTTCTTTCAATTTCTCAGCATAACCTTTTTTTCAAAAACTCTCAAAATGCTTTTTTATTTTGTATGGCATGTTTTTGTATGCCTTGATCAATGCATGATTAATTGAAAATTCATGTTCACAAAAAAGCTCTTTTGCACCCACCGAACCCTCCCATTTTTGAATATCAGTTTTGAAAAAATAATTTTACGTAGTCATAATGCAGGAAAAATTTGCATGATAAACAGGCTAACTATTGTGAACAATTTTGTTCTTCATAACTTACTTCTTAACATTACGCATTCGGCCATAGTAACACGCAAGACAATTGAAAAGATGAAAAATTTAGAATTTTGGGCGTTGGGGGTGAAAAAAAATTACAAAAAATACCGTTGAAAATTTTGGCCGTTTTTTAAAAGTTTGATACTTTCATTATTTCATTTGCTT